AAAAAACATGCTCATGGATTGGAAGAACAAATATTGTCAAAATGTCTACCTAGAGCAATCTATACATTCAATGCAATCCCTATCAAAATACCATCAACTTTTTTCACAGAGCTGGAACAAATAATCCTAAAATTTGTATGGAACCAGAAAAGACCCCAAATAGCAGAAGAATGTTGAAAAAGAAAACCAAAGCTGGAGGCATCACAATTCCAGACTTCAAGCTCTATTATAAACCTATAATCATCAAGACAGTATGGTACTGGCATAAACACAGACACAAAGATCAGTGGAACAGAATAGAGAACCTGGAAATGGACCCTCAACTCTATAGTCAACTAATCTTTGACAAAGCAGGAAAGAATGTCCAATGGAAAAAAGACAGTCTCTTCAACAAATGGTGCTGGGAAAATTGGACAGCTACAAGCAGAAGAATGAAACTGGACAATTTCCTTACACCATACACAAAAATAGACTCAAAATGGATGAAGGACCTAAACAAGACACAGGAATCCATCAAAATCCTAGAGGAGCAAACAGGCAGCAACCTCTTTGACCTCAGCCACAGCAACTTCTTGCTAGACATGTCTCCAAAGGCAAGGGAAACAAAGACAAAAATGGACTAGCGGGACTTCATCAAGATAAAAAGCTTTTGCATAGCAAAGGAAACAGTCAAAAAAACCAAAAGACAACCGAAGGTATTTGCAAATGTCTTATCAGATAAAGGGCTAGTATCCAAAATCTATAAAGAACTTATCAAACTCAACACTCAAAGAATAAATAATCCGATCAAGAAATGGGCAGAAGACATGACCAGACATTTCTCCAAAGAACACCTACAAATGGCCAACAGACACATGAAAAAATATTCAACATTACTTGGCATCAGAGAAATACAAATCAAAACCACAATGAGATACCAACTCACACTAGTCAGAATGGCTAAAATTAACAAGTCAGGAAATCACAGATGTTGGGGAGGATATGGAGAAAAGGGAACCCTCCTACACTGTTGGTGGGAATGCAAGCTGGTACAACCACTCTGGAAAACAGATGGAGGTTCCTTAAAAAGTTGAAAATAGAGCTACCCTATGACCCAGCAATTGCACTACTGGGTATTTACCCCCAAGATACAAATGTAGTGATCCGAAGGCGTATGTGCACCCCAATGTTTATAGCAGCAACGTCCACAATAGCCAAACTATGGAAAAAGCCCAGATGTCCATTGACAGATGAATGAATAAAGAAGATGTGGTGTGTGTGTGTATATATATATATGTATATGTATATATTATATATACATTTTATATGTATAATGGAATATTACACGGCCATCAAAAATGAAAGGGTGTGATACAAGGGCCCCTTCTCATTCACATCCTTAGCCCTCCTGCAGGGTTTAGCCTTGCTGATCTTCCTGAAGCTCTCATCATTGGCTTCTATTCTTTCATGTGAATCTTATGTGATTACCTGAAGCTGAAAATACAGACTAGAAGCCCACTCTGTAAAACTTCAATTCATACCGACTTGTCTTGAGCATAGCTTTCATCATATAAAACAAAGTTGCCCTGGTAACAATAACTATATATTAGCTATAGCTACAAGCTCAAGGCCAGTCTTTAGATGTATATTGTCCAAGCAACTGTCAGTGCATCAATCTTCTTTGGTCTTTTAAATACAAATATCACAAACCATCTTTTAATGAAAGACAGACCTATTATCATTATGAAAGACATCTACGGGCCATCTCATGATGTGTCTGGCTTCTCTGGAAAATAAATCTCCACTGAAGTCCCCATGCCCACTGCGGCCCCCCTCACACATCCACATGGGCAGTGGCTACAACTGATTGGTGGTAGAGGTGGGCCCCTGTCCAAAATTGGGTTTTGAGTCTTTCCCATGATTTTACACAAGAACTGAAAAAAAAAAGGAAGTCAGTATCTCACTGTCTCCACAGAACAGAAGTCAAGAGCATGTAAATTCAAGAGCTGTTAGGAACCACACTCCATCACGTGGACGAAAGAGCAGCAAACAGCAGTGAATTGTAAGCAAAAAGACTGATGAAGGCACCAGAAGGACACAGGGAAATACCTCCACAGCCTGGCATGCTGACAACCTTGCACATCTCCATATAGCCCTATAGGCAGGGCTAGGCCACAGTCTGAGCCGAGTCTTGGCAGAATGCCCCGTGATTTCCTCCGCCCTAAGGGAAGATAAGCAGACTGGTGAGGAAGCACTGAGAAGCGGTTTCTCCCATTATCTCGTGGAAGACTGCCATAGGCATTTCTCATCTATCTTCCTAGTGTCAGTTGAACACAAGACTTTCCACCTCACTTCCACTTAGGGAAAGCTGCAGCCTTCAGTGTAAGTGGTAAGACTGGCTGTTGTTCTGAGGTGTCTCCTCACCACCGTTCATACCGTGTATCATCTGGCCTCTTCAGTTTGGTGTCCTCCATGGAATAAGGGACACAGGAAACTGACACCATGAGTTGCTTTTCCTGTCTTTATAAGTAATTAGCTGTCTGAATCCATTTGGGCATATTTACTCGTTACCAGGCAAACCTATGGAAGTATGGCAAGCTGTCCTAACAACTATATTAGTATTACCTGTGACCCTATTATTAACCACCACCCCAGTTAGCCTTGGAAATGCTTAACCATTTCACAAAGTGAGGAAGGGTAAGAGATGGCAAGAGCTCACTTCCTGAGTTCCCCTCAGTGCTCTAGCTCCTGATTCCAGTCTCCTCCAGGGAGGTATCAAGACCTTGAATTCCATGAGAAACCTTGGTATTTCTCCAATAAACCTCCCCAGCTTTTTTTTTTTCCCCTTAAGAAAGCCAGAATGTATTTTTAACCTTTATCTTCCAAAGGTCATATAATATACACACAGAGGTGTTGCATTTGATGACATTATCAGTAGTCAGAACTCCAGCACTACAGATTCAAATGCATTTTCTATATTTATTAAAATTCTACCTTTCTTGTATATTAATTTCTTGTTGGCCCTTGACCTAGTATATGCAATATGATTAGTCTGCATTTATTAAAGTCCAATAAATATAAAATTTTATGAAAATGTTATTGCCCAAGTAGAAAACATGACTGTTTTTCTATACTATGATGAAAGTACAAATTATTCTCATCATTTATCAATAATTCCATAGTACTAACTATATAAATCAACTACACTATGTTTAATTTACCTTAGAAATATACTAATTTTCATTCATATTAGTTACATGATGGAATCACACATTATATTTGTGCCAAATATTTATCATCCAACAAAACAGTGTAAGTAGGATTATAGTTTGATCTACTCTTAACATCCCTTGAATTTAGCTGTGTCTAGCATAGAGTATGATCATCTAAGCCAATTACAGATGCTTCTGAATCATTAGTCATAGGTTAGGATGTTCACCAATCAGCCTTATTCTCCTGTTGGGACAGCTAAGTTTTCTTTGATCAGGGTCATGGATTCTGAATCAACTGAGTCAGGACAGCTAGCAGAGTCTTGGACATTGTGAAACTGGCCAAAATGGTGAGTAAATTGGTGAAAATTCATCATCACTACTGAGAAACAACTAAAAAAGTAGACAGTGGGGCCACTAACATCGTAATTATGGATGGACAAAACACAATCACATATAAAAGATGAATACCTTGATTGCCATATTAATGAAGTATCATCTTTAGGAAAGTATACAGACTGTAATTGATACATCTGGCAGTGTGTGCAACTCCTGAGAGGCAAGTAGTTCCTGACATACTGATAACTAGTCATAATTTATAATAGGCCTTTAAAAAAAGTCCAAGTTTGTTTGAAAATAAATTTTACTAGTCTATGTTAAACATTAGACATCTAGTCTCTCTCTTTTTTAAAGATCTTATTTATTTATTTGATAGAGCGAGAAGAGTACAAGCAGGGAGAGCAGTAGAAGGAGAGGGAGAAGCAGGGTCCCCTCTGAGTAAGGGGCCTGATGCGGGACTGGATCCTGGGATTGTGACCTGAGCTGAAGGCAGACGCTTAACCATCTGAGCCACTCAGGCGCCCCTAATCACTCTCTTAATATGATTTACTAGAGTTACCACAGTATAACTTATTAAGAGACTATTTACATTTATAAAAATGTTTTATGGTGATGAATTACAGTAATTATAAATTTAAAATAAAAATGCATCAGTTATGAAAAATTAAATTTTCAATTAACTCATAATTTATGTTTTAAAATATCCTTAACACACATTCACACAACATAATCTCGTGAGTTAGTAACTTTCTCTAGCCACACTAGTAACTATTTCCACGATTAGTTCTAACAAATTTTTTCTGAAGGTTTTTTCCCCACAGCATAACTCTCCACAAATTAACGTGAGCCGATTATACCAAAGGTGTTTATGTGTGTTAACATATGCATTTAATTTTAGTATGCCTATGTAAGGCACGAATAGCCCCAAGCAAGCACAGCCTTCGTGGAGAAGACCTGTGGAGTCCTGAGGTGTGTACTTTAATGAGGGAAGGCAGGAGTTACGTAAGACCTGAATTACCCAGAAGAAGTCTACAACTGAGAGCAAGACTAAGTCTGACGGAAACTGGATTGTTTCAAGTAAAGAAACCAGCGAAGCAAAAGGCCTCGTCCCAGTTGCAGGCCTTGGGGCTGCCTCGCTCGCTTTCCAGGCTAGGGACACGGGAGGCGGGGCACCCGGGAGCGGCGGCGCGGGGCGGCGGCGACTTGACCTGGGGCACCAGGCGTCCGCCGCCCGCTCCCGGCTTCCTTTGCTCTCGCACTCGGCGGGCTCGGGCGCTGCGTGGGCAGCGCGCGATTCAGAGGAGAAACTTCGGTCGGGAGACTAGTTTGAGGAAAGTTTTCGGGACACGCGAAAGGGAAGGGAAAAGCGACTGGCCCGCGGCGGGGCGGGGCTGCCTTACCAGCGGAACCACCGGCCAGGATCTGGCGAGGAGCCTCTTTCACGAAGCCGGCGTCGGGCTCGGCGGACATCTTCGCAAGCCCGGCACGACGGAGTGGGCCGAGAAGAGTAGGCTAGCTCGTCTGTCTTAGTGCGGACCAGTAGAAATTCCTCTGATCGAGAGAGAGCCGGCGCTGGGTAGGTCCTTGCGCCGAGTGGCTCCCTGTAAGGCGGCAATCCGGCCACTGCTCGGAGGTGGCGGCTCAGAGCGCAGACTCGCTGCTTGATCTCCGCGGGTCCGAACCTGCTCGCTGCACCCCCTTCAGGGGCTCTCTGTCGCCCCTGCTAGGCCCCGTGGGCTCCAGGAAGGACCCTGGCGGAGAGAAGACTCGCGGATGGGGTTGGGTTGGCCGCCCGCGGTGGGTCGCGTTTGGTCTCCTAGATTGGCGCCCACGCGCTTCTCTATCAGGAGTCTCCTGCAGTTTGTCAGGCTGGAAGCGCTGCCTCTGATAACGCTTGCAAAGAAGCGAGCCTGGCCTAGCGGCGGGGCTGGGGTGACCCTTGCCCTCCTGGCAAGCCCGCGCTCCGGGAGGTTTTAAAGGCCGGACAGGTGAACACGTTCTTTGGAGTTAGCGGTCCTGCAGTTGTGGGCTGTAGAGACCCAAGTCAAAGCAAATCCAATTCACAGTTATCTTACAACTAAGTGAATGTAGTCCTTTACAAACTGGCTTAAGGGCCTTTATCACGCCTCATCAACTTGAGTTTTATTTACTGAAAGACCAAAATAAGGAAGAGGCCTTGTTACAAACAAGTCTCTTCGGTACTCCACGTCAGTGTTTCTCAAAAGTCCGAGCTTAAGATCCAGCAACCTGAGGGTAATGTGAGTTTGTAAGGAAGGCAAATTCATGGCCCCACCCCTGTCTACTGAGTCAGAATCTCTGAAACCTGTGTTGAGTAAGTTCTCCAGTGCTTGTTAAGAACGTTAAAGTTTGTGAAGCACAGAGCTAAATAATCAAGGAATATTAAGGAACTATCAGTATATTCTTTCTATAAAAACTTTCATTATTCGTACCATCCCTTTAGGATATTTAGCAAAATGCAATGATTTATACTATTTTTAAACCACAAGTTACAAATGCTATGTAGAAGAGAGACACAATATTATGAAATTTTAGAAAAATACCTGCAACACCCCTAACAGGTGGGAGATGATAACCAGTAAAAGGTAGAATGAGAGGATTGGAATCCCTATTGTCATATTATTTCTTAAACATTGTATTTAATACTAAATATATTCAGTTTGAACCATATAGAATTGCCAGTTTTGAAAACCAAAAACAGTTGAATATCAGGAATGTAATATGGTTAAAACTTAAAAAAATGCTTTCCAATTAAATGTGCAAAATACAATAATTACTTTCATATTTTGATTTATTTCTGAGGCTGAGCTATTAAAAGCTGTTAATGATATGGGCAAAATTGTTGAAAGTAAGGAATTGGGTAGACTTGCTGCTTATGGATCAGATATGCAAAAATAAATTTTCTCATATTTGATTAAATATTTGACTAAAATTACTAAGTTTGGAATGTTTACCCAGAAATAGTTTTCAGAAATCTTTGCTGTTTAAAAGCTTTCAAGGAATGTTTCAGTCTTTTACTAATTAAATTTGAGGTCTTGAGTGCAATATAGAATCACTTATTCAACAAACTTTGAGAACCTATTATAATCTGAGCACTAAAATCAGAATTTCAGAGCTCATAGAAAACATTTCCCTTGTTTTCCAATGAGGAAACTGAGTTTCCCAGGATCACACCATGAGTTAATAACATTGCTGGGATTTGATTCCAGGATTCCCTCTTTTAATTGCAACGGGATTGTGGATTTAAATATTAGCCACAGGCCAAACTATGTTCTGTCACACAGAAACCTAAAATAATTAAATGCCCCCCAAATTAATTTCATTTATTCACATATGTAAGTGGAGAATTTTTTTAAGGTTAAAAAAATGTCACAACTATCGAACCCCAAGGCATACACTGAACCAAATTCTACATTCATTCATTGATAGCTTCCCTATGTGCTGGCAATGTAACACTTAAAATCCATGATAGAGCATATAACCTAATGAAGGAAATCCCACCATATTGCAATATAAGTAAAATTTTGTCTTCCCTAGATTATTTCAGGAAATACAATAATACTCCCAGGTCAAGATTTAAAGATAGCCTTTTTTTTTTTTTTTTCCCCAGTCAGATCAGTGTAAAGATAGACATTTAACCAATTCTTTGAGTACCTTAATCTCTGAATATCTTATCCTGAGGAGGTGGGTGCAGATTTGTGACTCACTAAGACCTCAGTCTCTCAACACCTGTAAATTCAGTGGAAAGACTCTCCTAGACATAGTTCCAAATATTGTTAGAAAATTGCTACCAATTTTTAACCTCTTTGGGCTAGAACCGATTTTTTTGAGTTAAAAAAAAAAAACAAAGGCTGATATCACATGTAATCTAGTCTTATACCTCTAGAATAGTTGAGGATATAGGGTCTAGGTATAAAAATATTCTGAAGCTTGGGAGTTAGCCAGTATCGATCCAGAGTCAGCAAATACCCACTGGGCTGAGAGCTCTGATTATGGGTTATATCCCTTATCTGCAGCCAAATTTGCCTGTGGCCAGTATTGGAATGCTGCAAGGTTTAGCTCTGAGGAAAAAAACAAACAAACAAAATTTATTTGACCTACTATTTCAGATACCCTAGACTTAATCCATCACAATTACTCTTTCTATTATTATTTTATGTAATGCTGTAATGTCCTGATGTTAGAGCAAAACTGCTAAAGTGTCAAGCTTATATTTTTATTTTTTAAAGATTTATTTATTTATTTATTTGAAAGAGAGAGACCCCCACATGCAGAAGGAGAGCTGGGGCGGTGTGGAAAGGGAGAGAGATTCTTAAGCAGACTCCCCGCTGAGCGTGGAGCCCAGCGCAGGGCTGGATCTCACCACCCTGAGATCATAACCTGAGCCAAAACCAAGAATTGGATGTTTAACCAACTGTACCACCCAGGCACCCCAAGCTTATATTTTTACATTATTGATTATTTACCTAATATTGGTTGAGAACAACATAATTAAAGTATTGATTTATCTATCAGGTTGCAGAATGGCTAGAAACTAAACTGCCGGGAGCCTTAAAATCCCCCCTGAAATTAAATATCTAACAATTTGATTTTTTTTTGGAATAAAGTTTTTTTTTGGAATAAAGTTTTGTATTGGGTCATTGGATCAGCTACTGTTCGAGACCAAAATAACAGTGGCTTAAATAAGATAGAAATTTGTTTCCCTCTTACACAAGCCCAGCTGTAAGCCATGAATAAGGTTCCAGCCAGCAGAAAGAGGAGAAGGATAAGGGTAAAGAAAGCCCTGGAAATTACATAGATCTCATTGGTCAGAACTTTGCCATAAGGGGTACAAGGGAAATTGGAAAGGGTAGTATTTTGCTGTGTGTCAATGAGTCCTGGAAAAAAACAAAAGCAAACATTATGGAAAAAGGGGAGAACATATTGGGAAACGATCAGCAGTATCTGCCACTTTGGAGAAAAGTTTAGGAATGAAGAGCTATATTTTAAAATGACAGTATGTGCTCATTTTGAAAAATTTTGTTTTCCTCAAATTTAAAGTTTACTTCATCAGTGTCTAACTAGAAAATACAGTAAAACCCTGTGGTACTTGTACTATGACTGGACCCACATTTTAAAATACCATTCATTGAAAGATACATAGCCACTGTGGGCCCATAGATTCTTCTATTTAGGTGTCAAAACACAGACACACAAATGCAGAATTTGGCACATGTGGAATTCATCCATGGAATAGGATGAAAAGTTGGAAGGAGAGGTTTATGGACACAAGATTAAGATATCTTGATGGATAGAAGAGATTATAACTCTTGAACTATTCAAAAGATCTATTATTCCATAATATTCTTTTACAGAAGTATTAGAAGTATTGAAGAAATGCTATTTGCAAGTGAAAGACAGGTTTTAAATTTGTGGGTCTGATTATCACTGCTCTAAGCTCTCAATAGCTTATAACTTACAAATACCAAGCAAGGTATCATGTTATTTTTTAGGACAGATCTTAGGTTCTGGTGCATTAGATTTTCCCATCATCTAACAGAGCATTTCTAAATTCCAAGGGATTTTACTGGACAGTATGAACAAAATAATTACTTGGGAAATTTTTTTCAATATTTTATTGTGATATAAGAGAAACAACACTTAGAGGTTATTTATAAAACAGACTTTTGTTATTTGGGACATAGGTGGGAACCTATGTCCCTTATACCTAGAAGGTAAGGCCTCTAAGCAGTCAACATGCAGAAATCTATGCACTTTGCCCCCAGGAGCTTTGCAGGCCTTCACTTAGAACTAGTTTTAGACCCAATTCTAAAAAGGTTGGCAGGGTGGATGTCTAATATCTTGGTTCACAGCAGATTAGAAAGACAAAATTAAAAGAGAATTGGGAAGGAGGAAATCAGGGAGATTCTAGAAAAGTGAAGAGCAACCTGCAACTTTCCAGCCATATTCAGCCTGCCTAGCAAACTGGAATAATGACAACCTTCATTTAACTCTTACTTATAACCCATTATCTCGTTCACAAATCCCTATGACAGAAATATTATCATCATCGTATACTGGCAAGTTAAGTAACTTGCCTGAAGTCACACTAAGTATTTAACTGAGGTATTATTTGAACCTAAGTATGTTTAATTTAGGAGGCCTCTTTCTGAATCACTATGTTGTTATTATGTTTTAATTTTAATTTTAGCTTTTCTACCCATACAAAAAAAATGAAAATTATTCAGAGTAAGTAGCTTGTAGTATCCTTGACTTTGGTAAACAGTTGATAAGCTGGATCAGGAATTTTATATCTCTGAAGTTAGAAAAGCACTAACTTCAATGTCACAAATTGCATATGTGAGAATGGTGTGAATTTTCTGTTTATTAAGTCAGGGTATCTCAACAGTGGCACCATTAACGTTTTGGGCCAGATAATTCTTTGTTGTGGGAGGCTGTCCTGTGCAATGCAGGGTATTTAGCAGCATCCCTAACCTGTACCCATTAGCTGCCAGTAGCAACT